ACCCACTGCACAGGCCCTCTGGACATGCGCACAAGTGCATGCATGCCCCCATAAGCACCCCCCTTCACGCATGCATGCGTGTGTGCCGCACGAGTGCCCTTCTCCTTTGTGCGAGTGCCCCTGCCCCTTCGCACATGTGCATGAGTAGGGGGTGCCCCACCCCCACACATGGACCCCATCCCCCCAACCAGTCCACAGTGTCAAAAAGTTTGGGGGCCACTGCTCAGAACACTATTTTCTTAGGTAGGGCTGATATAGTCTTAAAATTTTCAAAGGCGGTGCGTGTGTGTAAATGCTTCAGTCAAAACAATAAGCAACATATGAAGCTATGAACTAAATATTAAATTAACTCCAGGTTTTGACTGCAGAAGTCTCCAGATTACTTTAAAAGTCAAATTGCAGACGAGTGAACTGTCTCCAGTGCAAGATGTGCTGGAATTCTACATTTTAATAACCATCCAGAAATCTTGTAGAAGTCTCAACTATGTCATGACCCAAAATGTCTTAGACATTGTGCTCAACAATACAGTGGTGCCTTGACTTATGAATGCCTTGACCTATGAACATTTTGACTTACAAACAGCTCCGTTCGCAAAATTTTGCTTTGACTTGCGAACTGAGCTTTGACTTACAAAAGGAAAAAGGCAGGGAAAAGGGGCGGGAAATTCAAACAGACTAACCATTGGTGGTGAAGGGGCTGCTTCTTTGTACAGTAGCTCTTTCACCCAACGGTTTGGGAAAGGAAGACTAAGACTCCGAAATGCAACAACAAAGGACATCCCATCTGTGTCTGCGCTGCTCACTTCCCAGCCGGACTCCGGGAGCCAGAGCCCGGTCAGGAGGCGAGGACCCATGCTGGCTGGGCAGAGTGGCAGAGCCCAGGCCAGGCAGCGATGGAAGCCCAGGAGGCCTCCTGGAGGGCTCCTGGTGACGGCGGTTTCAGCGGCGGTGGAGCCCAGGCAGCTGAGCATGGCCGGGAGGCTTCAGAGGAGACCTCATTTTGAGGTAAGGTGCTGCTTTTTGCCTTTTAAAAACTCTTTTGGGTGGCTTTTGCAGGGTGGGATTGGACTGGTGGGGTTATGTTTGTGTGTTGTTTGTTTACTTGTTTCTTGCAGTCCCAAGGGCTTTTAGTGTTTTATTTATATATTTTTGGTATTTTTTAAAAATGCTAGAACGGATTAATCCCATTCCCATGCATTTCAATGGGAAATGGTGCTTTGACTTACGAATGTTTTGACATACGAACGCCATTCCGATACGGATTAAGTTCGTAAGTCAAGGCACCACTGTATATACCAAAATGCCTAAGCTAAATAAGTGCTCTTTGTGTTTCAGTGTTTATGTACAGCATTATTTTCCTGGTAAATATTATTTTACTGTATCTAACATTATGCTGATGGCCAGTGTGGTGTTGTGGCTAGAATAATGGATTAGGACTGTGGAGAACAGGATTCAAATCTCTGTTCAGCCATGAAAACTCACTGGGGAAGTAGAACTGGTGAACACTCCTTAAATATCGCACTTACCTTGCAAGTGTGATATTAGGGTCATTATAAGTTGGTTCCAACTTCACGGCACAGAACACACACAACATTATATTAGAGGAAAATTTACAATAATTGGCACTCTTCTGTTATTGATTGCACTGCCTAGCAGTCTTGCAGTTGTCTCTTCAATCAAAATGCATGATGGTAACTCAGAAAAGTGATGCTCAAGGTGTTGTAACAAAGGCTTTTACCTTATATGGTTCTGCTGACTGCTGGAGCATACCAAAGAATTTCAGAAGAAGATCAATCTGCTTTATAGACTACAGCAAAGCCTCTGACTGTGTAGATAATGGTTCCCAATGTTGGGTAACCCAGGTGTTCTTGGACTGCAACTCCCAGAAACCCCGGACAACACAGCTGGTGGTGAAGGCTTCTAGGGATTGCAGTCTAAGATCACTTGGATTACCCAACATTGGGAACCACTGATGTAGATCATGAGAAATAATGTGTTGTTCTGAAAGAAATGGGTGTGCCTCAGCACTTGATTGTCCTGATGCATAACCAGTATTGAAATAAGAAATGGCCAAGGTGGGACTGCAGCTGAACATTAAGACAACAAAAATCATGACTACAAAAGAACTTCACAACTTTAAAACTGACAATGAATAAATTAAAATAGTTAGATATTTTATATACCTTGGTTCAATCATTAGTCAAAATGGAAACTGCAGCCAAGAAATCAGAGGAAGACTAAGACTTGGAAATGCAACAACAAAGGACATCCCATCTGGATATTGCTCATTCATAGGGTCACCAGAAGTTGGGGGCAATATGACGGCACATAACAGTAATAACTCAAAATACAGGATGATTCAAAAAGAATAGAAAAGTAATGGTTAGAGCCCAGAGAAGATGCTGCTATTAGTTTAAACATGTTAACATCACACTTTTGCTTATTTCTGCATCAGGTGCCTTGAGGCCAAGGCTCCCATAGAAGCCAGTTTCATGTATTTTAAGCCACTCTTTTTGGGAAATGAAAAGGGCATAGAGCTACCTTCCTTGGGAAGCTTTAAGGCATGCAAAGCATTTAATTGTGGCATCAATGGGAAACCACAAGCTGCAGCGAAAATGGCCCATGTATGTTTATGAGTATCGGTGTGGACCCAATTTCCCTTGGAGCAATGAGCCAATTACTACCTCTGCTAGTCTGCCTCACGGGGTCGTTATGAGGATAAAAACATGGAGACCATGTTCACAACTTTGAGATCCTTGTAAGAAAAGTAAGTTATAAATGTAAAAACCTTTTGATCACTACAAGGACTGATGTGTTAAAGAGATTTATCCCTACAAGCATTTTAAAAATGTGACATATTGTGGTGGTAATGGGTGTCTGTCCTCAAATAACAGACCACAATATTTCAGAAAGATGTAACAATAAGAGCAGCAGCAGCAGCAGCAACAACAAACATAAGTGATATTTCCCTAACTAGCATCTTGGATTCCTGTTTTCTTTAACAGTCCAGATTTGACAGGCGACAGGAGGTGGACAACGCCAGACAAATATGCCTGTAGAACCATGGCTTAGAAATGCATCTGCTATTCCTGGATTCTATTTAAAGCCTGCCTTCCCATATTAATAACCAAAGTTCCTCATTAAAGACACCAAAGCTCACTATTACCTATGTCCTCTTCATCTTTCTATCTCTTCATACCCTGCCATGCCTATCTTATGCATGGAGGCTATCACTTTACATTTCTTTACATAGTTCACAACCTCCATGGTAATGAATCCAATGTACTGTAGTTGCATTTCCTTCATTAATCCTGTCGTTCTCCTTTTATCCCTTCTCTTCTCTCCTGCTGAAGTTTAGAAAAGGTAACCTCACCAGGGCCACGACCTGTCTTTCTTTGATGTGACATATAAAGTGATGATCATGTATAAATAATGACAGCATTGGTACTAAGAGAAGGTGACAAAAATGTGAAAATAGGTATTTCTATAGCTGGAAGTTACACCCTCGGCTGAGCAACAGCAGGGAATATATATCCCAATGTATTTTAAACGTGCTATTTTAAAATGTGACTGCCTGTTCTATGTTTTCACTGAGTCAATTTCCAAATGTAGTCAACATATCTAAGTGACCTCACTTCCCCACTGTATATTTCTATGAAGGCATATGTGGCCCTATCCTGTGTACATATGCTTCCAAGTAAGGACCATTAATTTCAATGGCACTGATTACTAAGTATGTATGCTTAGGATTCCAGCTTTAACCAAGCTTTAGTCATCTCCAAGAGTTAAAATTACCATAAAGACCCCAGCTGCTTTAGGATCACAAAGCCTCCAACTTTACAAGTTTTAAATTCCTAACTCTCTCATCTAAAATGGGCAGAAAATCCTTAGATGGGTCTAAGGATTTTGATTTTCTTTTAAATACCTATCTTAAAATCATGGTCCAGCTTTCCCTGTCAAGGGACTTTAATTACACTTTTTTCTCTACAACACTTTGCCTTCAAGAGCTAAGACTGCAGTCCTAGACACAATTATTTCACTTCCGTAGGAGTTAAAACTGCACACGTCTTATATAGTTTTAAGTCATCTCCCACCAAAATATTGGGAATTGGTTATCCACTTAAGCAGTTCACAGTGAAGAATCAGCAGACACAGGTGTGTGTACCAAACAAATAAAAATTTCATGGGGAAAAAGTCATGGGATACTTAGTTTACTTTTATAGACTCCCCTGTAGACAACCATTGTCACCTTGCTGCATCCACTGAACCTGACTTAATTTCCATATCTCATTACTTGGGGACGATGCATTTTATACATTGGAAATGGTCTGTCAGAAGGTCGAAAAGTGTTCCTTAAGGATGTTGTCCAAACTCATAGGTTCATACATAGTGAGTAAGATGGTTATACTCTGAAGCTCAAAGCCTCCTGAAAGAATAAGTATTAATCTAGTAATTAGCATTAGTACAGGGAGAGGGCATAATGAGCCCCTCCCATTTGAAAACCTGAAAATAGAAGGCTATTTTGAAAGGGTGAGCCCTGGGGGTGCCCCCTTTTTTTGAAGAAATCGTATTTCCTCTCAATGGCACCCCAGATCCAGAAAGAAAGAATGAAAGTTGTGGGGGGGGAAGGAGAACTGAAAATATATTTGCCCTCTGGCCGTTCAAACCCGGCTGCCTGCTTAAAACTTTCTCCAGACTCAGAAAACTTAGGAGCCTGCTTTTCGGTCTCACAAAGTGCCTCTTGGTCGGTCCATCTGCGAGGCGCGGGTCCGGGCTGCTCCGCGCCAAAGCCTCAGCCCCAAAAATTGGCTTCTCCAGGGGTGTCCTGAGGAGAAAGCTCAGAACGAGCCCAGGCGAGGAGGGAAGCCCAGGGATGGAGGCGCGGGGCGCTGCCACCCCGAAGCAGTGGGTTGTGGTTGGGCGCCAAGACGCCCCTCAAAGATGACACACTGCACCTCTCTGAGGAACCGCTTGCCACGCCGCCAAGCCTTTTACTGTACCTCGTTGCTGCGGCGCCGCCGGGGGCTGCTGCTGCTGCTGCTGCTGCCGGACTTGAGAGCCGCACCGGCTCAGCAAGGCGGTGAGGACCAAGAGCGGAGGCAAACTTGGCCGCGTCATAGCGGCAAACCCGGCTCGCTCTTCCTCCTCTCCCGGGCTGGCGAAGTGACGGTGAAGAGGAGAGAGAGCCGCTGCCTGGGAGGAGGAGGAGGAGGAGCAGGAGGCGAAGGCCCCGCTGCCACAAGGGAGGGGACCCCCCCCCCGAAAGGACACGCCTCTCCTCCGCCGGCCTGGCTGTCTTATTCCCTCAGCCGGGCCCACATGGCCCGAGGAGGGTCACAAGACACAATGAACAATCGGGGAAGCCTTCCAACGTGGAGGAGGCTCAGCACAAATTCGGCGGGGAAAGCGGGCGGGGCGGGGGCGACCCACGCTGTGCCTGGACGGGAGATAAGGGAAGAACTGGAAGGTCGTGCCCAGAAAGTCAGGGAGTATATTGGGAAAGAGCAATAACAAGAGAACACAGCTGACAAAGGTGGGCGGGGAGGGGGGAGAGAAAGCGAGTCGGGAACCTTTCAAAGTCTGTCTCTCACACAGAAAACAACCTAGAACGCCCTTCCTAACGGGGCAGTTCTAGGCACAGAAGAAGCCCAGGGAGGCCGGCGATGATGACTTCTTTACCTGCAGGCAAAGACATCCCCTTTTAAATGTAGACCGCGAGGGTTTGGGTGGTCCAGAAATAAAAGACTGGGAGAAAAGGAAGTGTTAATGAGAGTGGGCGGGGGCTGGTAGACTGTTGCAAGATTCTGGATGCAGCTGATCTGGATCAGATTAAAACAATTTTTTATGGGATGTGATGGAGACTGCCAACTTGGCAACAAAGGAGCGGAGGAACTTGGAGAATTTCCCTGGGACAGGAGAGTAAAATTGGGACACACTCGTACTCATAAGCAAACAAACACGCTCCTTGCTGCACTGGCACTTGGTGGCCTTTAGGCAGATTTGTGAGCATATTCCAAGTTATCAACTGGCAATTTATCACAGTGTTTGTTAGACACATTTTATGTGACTATCTTAAGCTGGTGGTGAAGAGAATGCTGCCACTTTTCTGGTTTTCTTGATTTCTGATACAAATACCTTGTCACTACCTAACATAACTACATGCCATAGATGGTCCGTTTACCTTGATAGAGTTACATATTGTATACACAACATGGTAAGTGGACATTTAGTAAATAGTTCTCTGGTGTTCACTCTTGTGTTGCAGGCAAAGTAATATACAGTGCAGTCTAATGAAAGTCTGCTCAAAAGTAAGTCCCATTGTTTTCAATCAGATGTACTCCCAAGAAAATGTCTATCATTGCATCTTAAGGCAGGTGTTGGTCAAGTCACACGCCTGTTTCATTGTCTGCTGAACTCTACATGGACACCATAAACACACACTATCAATACACACATTTTGTAATACATATGTCCTCTGGTCAATATGCAGTGTCTTCAAGAAACATTCCCTAATGGACAACCTGTTGCCCACAGGCTCACTGTCTAGCTTCCTGAAACCCATAGCGTCCCTTCTTACTAATAGCTTTTCCAGGTGAGAGGGAATGCATGCATGGTGGGAGACCTTTCCCTTCCCAACTGCTCAGCTGCTTTCAGCCAATGAACTGAGTAGCAGAGGGGTTGTTTGGAGTGTGGGGAGGCAATCTTTATTAAAAGTACTCTCCACATACTGTAAAAATCATAATAGCAGTCCAAGAGGAGAATCTTAGAAACAGCCCAGAGGAGAGATAGTCAGGACTGGGCTAGGAGGAAAAGAGCTGAAACTTCTTTCTTACTACTGGTCTGATTACAGTGGAAAGCTGAGGAGTTGGGAAAGAGATTGGGCTACTGATACAGTTCTCTTTGTCTACAGTTATTCGTATCTTCCTCTCTCTGCTCAGCAGTGCTAAGGTATGTATGTAAATCTACAGTATATATTCATGTATGGATGTACTGTACGGTACAAAAAGAGAGTGGGTGATAGTCTTATGTCTTTCACACACACACTTCACTATGCACCATCCATCTACAGGAAGTGTAATGGATGCACATGAGCGCATTCTCACATATCTCCTCTCTTTTTCAGCCATTCACACATCTGATCCAATGGAAAACAGCCGAGCAGAGAGAAAGATGGCATATGATTGCTCAGTCCTCTTGCTCATCTGTGGTGGAGCAGAAAAAAAGAGAGCGAGACCTGCAACACAGCTGTTCCCTCTTGTCAGCTAAGCAGTGTGTGGTGGGAGGCAAGCAGGAGGTTTTTAGGAGTGTAGTAATATTGAATTTATTAAAGCTTAGAGAAGTTTATTGAATCATTTTTGCCCAGTAGTTGGCAACATCAAGAGCATTTGGGGCATCTGTCACCAAATCTTCCATAGTACATGCTGAGGAGCATAGAGTACACTGATGTATGAAGCTGCCTGTACTTCTCCACTCACATAGGACCATATTTTTGCAAAACAGGCATTTTGTGAGGTTCACTTAGGTTCTGTCAGTCCCACTCTGTAGCCTGTTAAATGACTTCCAGGGAACCCAGTTCTCCATGTGACCTGAGGTTAGACTTTCTGAGGTCCCATCCATTTTAAGAGGTGGATAGCTCTTCTTCTTCTTTTCCATATTATGATCCTGGCATTCTATGCTGTTCATTCAGGATTCACAGATGTTCTTTAAAAAACACAACATTTTCCTTATTTTTATCTGGTCGGGATGGGATGGTGGCAGAAGAATGAATGGGCATTTAATGTAGATGCTTTGAGTGTTTTGTTATTAGATTGATTTGCTCCCCATGGCATTGAACGCAATGTCTGGTAGATAATTGATTTTATCCATAGGGATTGCCTTGAGACATCCAGATTCTGCAGCTTTCATTGAGTTCTACATCCCCTGTTTTGCTTGGGCTAAACTATATCACAGTGAGCTGGCATATCTGACTGCAGAACAGCATAGAGCTAAGACTGTATGTAGTTCTAAGTGTTTGTGGTTGTGTGCACCAACTAGCTTTTGAAGAGTATCACTCCTTGCAGAGAAGTTTTGCTTTGTGTTTTTCAGTGCTTTGTTATAGGTCAGCACATGATCCAAAGTAACACTAGGTATTTGGGAGCAAAACAATGATGTCCTTTCAAGTAACCTGAGGTTTCTGACATGCCTGCTTGTTTCTCAGGCAAAAGTACATGTATTAACAAAATTTAGTTTGTGCATATCATCATATGCACAAAGTTCTTCTAACACATCTTTTAAGAGACTTTCTGCCATCTGAAAACTGTCCAGCTGAGTAGCTAGTGTGAGACTGTCAGCATAACTAAAACATCTGGCGTCTTGGGGAATTGGTTGGTCATTGGTTTATATATTAAACAAAATAAGATCCAGTGTACTGCCCTGGGGTAGACCATTTCTTTTGAGTCCTCCACTGACTGTTTTCCTTGAAAACTTACGTTTTGGAAAAGGGTTGCCATATCTTTAGTTAGCTTATAAACTTTGGTTAGACCACAACATTTTTACGGTAATACTTGATTAGAAGAAATGCAAAAATTGTATGGCAGTTACAAGGTATTTTGTAGCAAATGTAAAATCAAAATAGTATTTAAAAAATGAAAAAATTATGGCACTTCTCAGTTGAAATCCATAGAAAGCTTTATTTTAGCTATATTCGTATTCAAAATAGTAGAATTAATACTTTTCGATAGACCTGTTAATATTTCTTTATTGTTTGCAGCCCTGAACCTTACCAGGAAATGTATTGCAACAGTTGTTTCATTTTAACCATTCTTCAAACTGCCTTTGAAGACTCTAAACTTCTAAAGCAAAATAAAACAAATTAATGCTATTGTTAATTTCAAAGTAGCTTGTTGCATTGCTGATTATGATACTGTTATGTTATCACTACCACTCAACTTGCCAGGTCATTAAGCTTTCTGCTCAGTTCTTAACAGTTAGAAAAGGGTCCCATACTGCACTGTTGCTTGTTACGTCAAAATCTGCATGGCTGTATTCTGCAACATTATGCTTTAGCTCAGCAGAAGGTAACATGAGGTTCACCGGGGCATTTTTATGGCATCCAAGGCTTCTCCAGAAAAAAATAATAATGGAACAAACAAATGGCTCGGTGGAGGAAAGAGAGAGAAAACCCATTTTGGATGGAGGAGAGAGAGGAAAAAACCCTAAAACTGGATATGCCTATCTAGACAGTTCCTGATTATGTATTTTTAATTGGTGAAAAGAGCCATTGGTAGGCTAGGGGCAGCCTGCAGCAGAGACCAGGGGGCAAAAGATTTATCCCCAAACTCCCCAGTGTCGTCCAGTCCTATTCTAACCCTACAAGCATGGGCAGTTCTAGGCCAAGCTCCCCATAGTTGCTAGAGTGTTAATTGCTGAATGAAGCTATGTGGGATTTAAGCATCATAAGCAACAAACAAAGCCTTGTGGTACTCAGGACCTTGTTTAAAAAATAGAATAGTCATACAGATATATTACCCTATTCCATCTTTCTCACAAAGAGACACAGGACAACTCTTAACATATTATCACATTACCAGAATTATGGAGCATGAAGTGGGGAAAAGAAACAAACTTAAGGAAAGGTTTTATCATGTGATTTTCTTCATAACTTTAAAAAGTAAGTTACCTATAACCATTTTAAGCCCTCTGTCTGTTTATAATCAGAAAAAAAAATGTGTATCTTCCCCAGCCTTCAAGTTACGTTTGTTGATAAACTGCGGATCTTAAATATCATTAGTAAATCTCAGCATAAAAGCATTAATTGCTGTGTACTGACACTGCTTCAGAGAGTATAGTGGGGTGTGTGTTTCTCAGTCAAGAAATATAACTAATAGCATAATTTATTCTTTGAAAAGTTGGTAAGAAAGTTGAAACTGTGAAAATGACATAAAAAAGCTATGAAGATCATATAAAAAAAACTGGATTACTTGCTGCCTTGGACAGAAAATTTAGTAAAGATTTGGGATGTCGAATATATTTCATTAGAAACTAAAATCAATATCTATGATTCAATTGTCATCCCATTCTTCCTTTTTGGTTTGAAATATTGGAGGAGAAGGATAGCCAGAAAGAGATCATGACAATGGAATTGAGATAGTTGAATTCAAGAACACACTGAATTCCAAGACTGTGGCAGAGAAGAAATACAACAGAGGAGAAAGGACAGGACAAGAAATCACATTGATATAAAAGGTTCAAAGAATGAGCTACT